TTTTTTTTTTTTTTTTGTCGTTTTTGTTTGTATTTTTTTTAGCTAAATATATTATTTATTTAGTTAAGTGTATTGGATTTTTTTAATTAATCTGGTTTATTTATTTATATTTTTTCAGTTTAAGGGGTTGTGTTTTAGTTTATTATGAAAATAAGTTGATATATATAATATCCTTTCATTTAATTGGGGACCTCAATATCCATATTATTGAGGCTTGGGTGGGGCCCAGCACATAAGTATTTCATTGGATGAAAAAAAGATGTCAATGAGAAGTTTTTTATTGGAGGAAAAAAAGAAAAAAATTATTGGTCCTTTTTTGTTCATATGTATTAGTAGTGATTTGTTTTTATTATACAAATATAGTTAGTCGGTACTTATTAAAACTAACATTACATCACACATTATTAATCTATAACCTAGAGATATTCTAGTAAAACAAAAATATAAGAATATATATAATGAGGTAAAATTAGTAAGGACATGTAAACAAAAAAAATATTATTTTTTATTTGAGAAATGAAATCATCGATTAGATATGAAAAAATTGAAGAAAAAAACAACATTAATACAACTAGTAATGTTTTTTGTAATGTTGTAAATATGCCACATAACACCTCAATATTATAATGATATTGGCCAGTAATATCGATAATATCGAATACTATATTACATTTGTATCGGTCAATAATACTGATAATATCGGATACAAATGAATTTTTAGTGACTTTTTACATTTTAATCAGTTTTTTTATATGAATAGATAGTTGTGTATTTAATTTTGATATATCTATATTTTTATTAAATTTTTATCAATTTTAGTTGATATTAAAATTTGCTTTATATATCATTTACTATTATAATAATAAATTTAATAATATTTGTTAAAACTGACAAAATAAATTAGTATATGATTTTTATTTTAAAAAAAAAAAAAAGACTTTTGTTTGGAATTGGGATCATATTGTCAAAGTAGCACAGCCATGTGTCATATGTTGTGTTTGTTGCATATTAAAATAATTGCATTAACTATCATTTTTTCTTAATTATATTATATTTTTTATAAATTTGTAATTATAATTAACTGGGATCGCAGATAAAGCGGGAGATTGGGACTCTGAAACTCCTCAAACACCCAAACGTCGTCAGATTATATGAGGTCCGAATCTCAACCCATTTTTAACTTTTTCTTCGCTCTTCACATTTTTTTTTCTTATAATCAAATTATTATCTTATTATTATTATTTTGAGTAAAATGTCATTTTAGTCATCTATGTTTCACTACCTAACTTTTTTCGTTCTTTTCGAATTGTGTTTTTTATTGTCCGTATATTTGCATTAAGGTTACAAAAAGGTCATTTTCGCAAGAAAAATATCATTTATATTTTGATCCATTGTGTATGAAAAAGACCATTTTGTAATATTTTTGCAAATATATGAAACAAAAATAAAAAACGCAATTCGAAAATAACGAAAAAGTTAGGATAGTGAAACATACACGATTAAAAATGCAATTTACTCTGTTACTTTTTATGAATAATTTACTCTATTACTTTTTATGAATAAGATTTTCTACCTAACGTTGAAAAATATAACACTTTAACCTTTTTCCTATAAAGTTCGGACTATTTTTGGGTATTAGGCATCAAAATTTGGCTTTGGGTCATTTTACTAGAGTTTACCCTAATAATTAGACCAATTTTGTTTTGGTCATGTGAGTGGGCCACCACCGAATTTCGATTTTGATTTGATTCGTGTGGGGCCATCATTTTGTAAAGAAAATTATTATCCTCGCGTTTTTTTTTTATCGCGTTTCACGTGCTGGGGCATTAAAACATGTTTCGACAGATATCCACACTCTCAACAATGAACTTGTGGTCTCTAAATTCGATTCGTAAAGTTCTGGTTATCTGAATTTCCGAGGCCACCTTCATATCATTTAATTTAATGAAGGCCCACCCAGTATGGCTATGGAGCCATACACGATTTATGGATTTATATACACTTATTCACAAATAGACATGGCCAAAACCCGGACCGTGCCGGGCCTTTGGGTAGGGTTTCATGGACCCTGAACCGGCACCGACCTATGCTCGTGCCGGATCCGTGCTGGGTCATGGTTTGTGCCGGGTCAGAGCCGAGTCGTGATTCTTTAAAGAAAAAATAAAGAATAATACCAAAAAAAATAAAAAAATAAAAAAAAGGTCATCGGCCCGGCCCGCCGGGCAATGGTCATGATACAATGACCCCAAAATGGTCCGTCGAAAATTTGTTCAGGGCTTGGACCTGTGGTCGACGAGTTTGACCGAGTTGGGTCAGGGCCGGGCCGGCCCCTGGCCACAAGTATTCACAAATAGTGTATGACACGTGTTTTATAATAAATACACTTTGGACATGTGTCAATACATTAAACTCTATAATAAAAGCATCGAATAAGAATTTATGTAGGCCGAAAGAATGAAAAATTTGAAAATTAATAAATTAACTAAAAATTACTAATGCATTGCCCTAAAATCAAGTGTGTGATCTAGATAGGCGCCGGTATCTGAATGCGCGCGTGTTGATTCAATGGTAGTGATAGTTTTTTATCATTTGATCACATTGTGTGTGCGCGTGTTGATCCGATGGTATTGGACTCCTTGATAGACTCAACTTTTTCAGACTTAAGATTATGAATGAATATAAGATAACGATATAAGGGTTAAAGTTAATGTGATATACAAGTAGTAAGTTATTGTGTGACAGTGATTGGTACTTAATATATACGAGTGTGTATCGCTTTTTAATCGTAAAATACTAGCTCAAGTAGCTATATCAAACTGGAATTGTCTTTATATGATCTCCGACCCAAGAAGACCCAAGAAAGGGGTGTAGAACCTTCCTTTTCGACCCAATGCTTTAGTTCTGTTCTAGTTAATCTCAATGATAATTGAAAGAAGATAAATTACACTATGGTGAAAATGCACACTTAAAAAAGTCTGAAATACGAAATATAGTAAGAAGAAAATCAGAACAGTTATACTATACAAATGCCTTCGCTAAATTGGTATATGTAAAAAATGGCTTCCTAAAGATGTACATAATGTTATTTACGATTCTTGTTTATCTACGAAACCGAGCAGGTGTTAGCAAGCAAGACGAAGATTTATATGGTCCTTGAGTACGTGAATGGTGGCGAACTGTTTGAGAGGATTGTAAGTAGCTTCTGCCGGAGTATAAATTTACGAACAAAATTCTTTGGTATAATATCTATAGTTTTAGGCCTCGAACAACATTCTGATTTTCGCTTATACTTGGCTTGTGCAGGCCTCCAAAGGAAAATTCCCAGAAGCCGTAGGCAGGAAGCTCTTCCAAAATTTGATTGATGGTGTTAGTTACTGTCACAACAAAGGCGTTTTTCACCGAGATCTCAAAGTAATAATCTGTAGTTTAATACAAATATGACATATATATACTTATATCAAACCTTTTAATGAAGATTTTGTGGCCGACAAATTACAATGCAGCCAGAAAATGTGCTGATTGATGCAAGCGGAATGATTAAAATTACAGATTTCGGCCTCAGTGCATTACCTCAACATCTCAGGGTATATCTATATCATCTTATATTTTTTCATTTCTTTCCCTATACAAGAGATTTTTTTTTTTTTTTTTTTTTT